TGGGACTATTATCGTTTTTGGGTCACGTTTACTGTGTGTTTTCACATGCAGTAGCCTGTTGGTAGCCTGTTGGTAACCTGTCAGTAATCTGTCGGCCAACAGTTGGCCGACAGGTTTTTTGGGGAGCTCTTCTTCACAATCACCGATCTAGGGGTGACACTATGAGGAAAAAAGTTGTAAATGTTTTTTTTTTTCCCTCAGCCCATTAAAGCACCTCCAGCTGGCAAGAAATACATTCGTTGTCCATGTAATGCTCTGCTGACATGCAAGGTCTCCTCTGTTAGGATATCTTGTCCAAGAGTCAACTGGTAAGTTTTTTTAGTGGGTGTTTTCATTCATGAGAGTTTGCAATTGTGTGTTGATTAGCAAATACCCATTTTAGAGGGAAATGCATTTGATACACGTCAGCATTATCTGTGATCCTGGTGTCTTTGAAGAAAAGCTCTATCAGCGTATTGAAAACCTACCAAGGGCCAATGCTTGAAATGTCAGCTTTACAAACTTGTTACATTCACATTGTCAAATCAGTTTTTAAAACCAAATTATCCTTAATATCCCATACTGATACAGCACTGTAGTTTCTCTAGAAACTTATCGCCCTATTCATATTGAAAACTTAATGATTTTGAATTGATTTTTATCTTGTGAAGATGAATCCAACTGATATAACTTTAGCCTTTTGTAGTAAAGTTCTTTAAGTATAAGGGCTTGTTTGAGTGGTTTTCACTTTTGTCCTTCAGCAAGCGCATAATCAACCTTGCGGCACCTCCAATGCTGCCGCCAGCAGCGACACTACCAGCCATTACTAGAAGTCAGTTTAGAGTGACTTGTGGACATTGCAATGAGATCTTTGTGGTAAGTTCCTAGTTTTTTTTTTTTTTTTTTCATTTACAGTCAGCTGTTAGCAAAATTTTTAGGTTATTTCACTGTTTCTGTAACTTACTTCAATCAAGAATTATCCTTGAGTTTACAATTACTGATAACAATTTTATAATATAAGTTGGGACAATTAACTTCATTTTGTATTCCTAGATTGAAATGTTTTTTTCTCCTTCTAGTTCCACACAACAAGCCACCTGGCTAGATGTCCTCATTGCAGAAGAATGTGAGTATAAAACTGCACAATTGTTTTTTCAGGAAACACTTCAACATTCATATTGTTAGGGCTAGTATTACTGGTGGTCTCTTGGATACGCAGAAAGGATCCTCATAGGTGTCTATTAGTTTAGGGCTTGGTCAAACAGGGACATCAAGGCCACCGAGTTGAAGCGCGAGAGATTGTTAGTTATTTCTCAAGATTTTTGGTCTTGCAATTATTGCCTTATGTGTTTACCTATTTGTTGATTCATTAAAAAAGGATTTTAGACAATCCCAGAGTAGTAGGGTGGTCATGGGGAGGGTACAAAGAATTTCTAAAAGGTAACCTAACTGGCTCATGGCAAGTTTACAGTATAGTTGTCTGTGACACATCTGTAATCCTTCTGGCCCTGGTTGTTTGAAGGATGGATAATGCTATACTCTAGATAAATCTCTATCCGGTGGATAGCGCTGTACGTTTTGGTAACACTTATCCACTGGATAGGGATTTATCCGTTGGATAGCGTTATCCGGCTTTTGAACAACTGGAGCCTGTTGTTTAACATTTTTAAGGAATAATATGTTTAAGTTAAATTTATGTCAATAACCTGGTTATTTCAGATCTTCAGTGGGACCACATTTTGCCAGAACTCGGGCCACCATATTTGCAGTCATTGGATTCATCTTCTTAGCAGCAGGTATTGGAGTTACCGTGGGAACCCTGGACCTTGCAAGAGATTCTGGAGGTAAGCTACAAGTTGACATGTATACACCTATCTTAATTTCTTTCCATTTATCTGACTTTGTTTCTGTCTGACTAATTATCTGTCAATTGTTGATAGAAAATTGAAGAAGATAATTTTTGGTTTGTACAGTAAGTTTGTTTTGCTCCCTTTTGGTTTATGGCTCACACAAGCCACACACACAGTACAGAACTCAAAGTCAGTTTGTAAGAGGATATTGATAAAAAATTGGTTGGAGTTTTGAGATATCTTAAGGCTTGAAGTTAAGTCTGTTATGTCTTTTATCTCCTCTCTTTATCACCAATGTAGATGGGAAAGTTTTAATTCAAGAGAAACTAACTTCAAACTCTTTTGTACTCTTTAGGTATCTATGTGGTTTGGATTGGTGCATTTGTTGCTGGTATCCTTAACTTGATCAGAAGTTGCTATTACTGCACCATGACTGTCAGTTCAATTGAAGGAGAATCATAAATGGGTAGTCTTCAATAAGACATCCATAGAAAGAACAGCGAGGAATGTCCTTGCATGCAACTTTTTCCTTTGTTAAAAACCAACTTGGATGCTATACACAAATTCAGCAATAACATGCTATAGTGCTCAAAATGGTCCCTTGGTGGTGAACAAGATCTTAATGTTAGATTGTCTTTTTGTCTAATTGTCTTAAACACGTACCAGCATGTTGAGGTCTTTTGCCTTCCTTACATACCTACTTTCTCACCTACTTAATGTTCAAGTGAATCAGTGACTGCTATTTTGAGCACTGCACGGTGTCAGAGCAGAGATTTTTTTTCTAGATGGAACTTCAGGTTTCATAATTTTTTCATGATCATTTATTTCCATTCTATCACGTTTTGAATGTGTTAGATAGGGCAGAAGGTGTGAGCCACGTTGGCTGAAGGCTTGTCATATTCAGCAAAGAACTTGACGTTGTTAACTGCAACTAGAGGTCTCTGGTTGACAATAATTATCAATAAAATGTGTGTGCTTGGCATACTAGTTATTAATAACCATTATAATTACTTTACATTATATATTAGAAACAGAGATATGTTAGAAAAAGGATAGCTAGCCCAAAACTAACCTTGTGAACTGCAAATAGCCATTGAACAAGTTATGCAGTTGACCCTAATAATCCAATATGCACCAAATTAAATTGCCAGTAGCATGAATGAATAGCAGTTTGTAGGTGTGTCTCAGAAACTTTTTTATCCCGGTTATTTCATTAATCAAGTGGTTTTGATCTTTAGCGGGACCTTTGGTACACCTTTAGTTGCTCGAAAGATTTTGCAAATTTTTAAGAATAGAGAAGTCTAATGAGAAAACCAAATTTGTAAGCATAGTTTGAAGAAAAATATTGCAGATTAGTATTTTTAGTAGTCATGATCATAACTTTAGCACCCATCTAGAAGGAATCTAAGTATGTTACTTGACTATTTTGTGGAGTTTGTCACAGAGTTGAGTGGACTTTTCAGCGAAGTTCTTTGGCGATGGAAGGTGTGCTTCTGTTAAACAGCATTAGTCTTTGAAATGTTTAGGACTTCTTGGAGCTTTTCTCTTTTGCTTGTAACAAATTAACAGTCGATGGTTGACAACTGAGTCGCTTGTGTTGCGTTATGCTTTTTGAGAAATTTAGAGCTACACTATTTTAAGTGAATAACGTGATTGTAATTTTCATCAACTATGTGTATAAAATGTAACAATAAAATCAACTTGATTCGTCACTACAATTTAAACTCAGTATTCAATTTGATGTTGGGTGTTGGGGCTGAAGGGAATGAGTTGACTCCTACCATCCAGGGAGAGTGCAGCTTCAGACTACAGAGATAACCCCAAGCAGTTATGGCCATTTTTTAAACGACTAAACACCGAACGAATTCTGACTCTGCATCTAAATCAGTGAGGAGAAAGGCTTTCAAAACCACAGAAACTGAAGCTAGCAATATTATTGAAAAAACTTAAATTGGTTTGCCTTATTTTATTTACAAATATTTACACAACAGTTAGACATGTTAAGACACTCAATCGAGTCCGCAGTCGAATTTTATAACTGATTTACGGTGGTGCTCTCTCTTTAACGGATAGCTAACGGCTTGAGTTTCACTGCCGTGTACTTTTTTATTGACACGAACTTCAGTAAGAAGGAAGGTTTTGAAAGTTTACTGTTGGAACATGTCATCAAGTCGAGAAGAGGGGCTCGGACTTCGATTTGCCGTCATGTGAGTTGGAACGGACCCTTTTGTCCCCATGGGGACACG